CTATTTTTTAGAGATGCTACATATTATGAACACCCCTAATCACAAAACGATGAACTATAAAACGGACACCGACAATTGCGCTCACGTTTATCGGAATTTAGTTCTAACGCACAACAACAAACCTACAGTAGGTGTCGTGTGATCGTGTGTTCATGTTTAACTCATCGTCCGTCTGCTGCCAAGATTTCTTCGGACAACAACATTGCTCTGCTGAGATGACATACAAACATTTCTTTGTCTTACTGTTCAGCGCTTTATGTATTGTTGTTTGTATAAAATTTTTGTTTACAATTACTGTATTTTAATTATTAGTTTTCCTGTTTATGTTTAATATCTTCTTCGTGCTTGTTTGTTATTTTACATTTTAACATATGATTAGTCGACCGGACAAAGCTAATAGTGTAAGTCGTTTTAATGCACTTGTGCATATGTATGTTTTTGTTGGTTTATATTGTGATGTAAAAATATTGTTTTCCTTTGTTTTAGTCCTGAAGATGCCTTCAGACTGAAGGCGAAATATCGACCAAAATAAAAATAAAAAGTAAATAAAACATAAAAACATTTAATGTTTTATTTAACAGGCCGTATGTAGCTCAATAGCCGTATGTATAGCTCAAAAATAATTATTAAATTATACTCAGCGGCCAATAAGCAACACAATCAAATTTAAAACCGATAATTAAATGCTTTACTTTGGACACAATCATAAATTTTAATGCAACCTTTAAATATAAAGTGAGCTTTAAAGTTACAGGTTACTTCAGAAAACGGCCCTAAAACATAACAGGTTGGCATTAAGCGTGATCGCTAGATAACATTATTCATAAAGTTCGTTGAAAATGCTAAATACATAAAATAATTTGTGTCTAAAATGCGGCCATGAATTATTATGTGGGTATGTAAAAGATTTTCAGATCTTTAGGCAGTGCGGTTAACGAATTTTTAAATATTTACTCAAAAATGTTATTTTCCATGGATCTTAAGCGAAAATTAGTTTTTCGTAAAATTTTTTTGGGAACTTCACCAATCTTTACCAAATTTGCTATACACATTGCGCCTGACCTTCTTAAATACTGTCTTCAAAATTTTTGAAATCGTACCAAAACCACGCCCTCTAGAAGTATCTCTAACTTTGAGATTTCAAAAATTATCGTATTTTACTTATAACACTTTAAGCGTTTGAGAAAAATTTATCAAACAAAAATTTAATGTTTTCTCAATGGATTTCAAACAATTTGATGTATAATTTACTTTTGTGCGTTCAATTTAAAAATTTACGTTTGCTTAGCATTGAATCACACGGTTCCGGAGATTTTTCCATGTGTATTTATTTACAAATATTGTTATGTCCATATATTTAAATATATAAGTACTTGAACGTTTTATTAACCATTTTGAATTGTTTCCCACATTTAGTATTCAACGCCTCTTCCGCACTGCCGACTATATGTACTCCTTCCCACCCCATCGTTCCACAGTCTATATAATGGGCATTTTGCTTGGTTACTGCTTACGCAAATACCCTGGCATAAAGTTGTCAAGAACTCAACTTCGCTTCGGTTGGGTGGTGGCCACAGCCTGTGTGCTTACTTCGCTTTTGGGACCCGCGCCAATGGGTGACATCAACTATCAGTACAACTCAACACACGCGGCCATATATGCAGCATTTGCACCAATTGCTTGGTGCATGTTCTTCTCATGGATTGTTTTTGTTTCACACAATGGCTACAAAAGTGAGTTTTCAAAAAATCGTCTTTATACCACTTAATAACACTTGAAATAAATATTATTACGCCACAATAATAATAAAATTTCCAAAATTTCGAGTAAATTGTAATTGGTGTAATTATTTGTGCGATTATGCATAATAAATATGTATGCACATTCTCATTTGCTCATTTCCTCTATATAAAAATATTTTTGAACATATATACATATGGAAAAAAATTAGCAACACCTTCAACAAAAAAAAATTGCCAAAGTCAAAGGTAAGCCCTGGCATAACATTTTTCTAAGAAATCTAATTAAAAGCTCGACATTTTTATGGAGTTGGTCGAATTTTTCCAATTTTTGTACAAAGTTTGAAATTTGAAGTTACTTGGTTTTTGTAAGATAACGAACTGTGCCTTTATAAAAAAATAATAAACATAAAAAAAAAACCAAATTAGTAGATAATATACTCTTTAAAATACATTTATGGAAGTTATATGTACATATATATGTATTACATACTGAATAAATCAACTCTTTAGAGTTTCATAAATTGCAATTTATTTACATAACATTAACAAAGAACTCAAACATTTTTAACCGACTTCAAAAAAGGGGGAGGTTATCAATTCGTCGGAATTTTTTGTCTTTTTTTATGTATGCTACCGCATAGCTTTGGATCACGTGAACCGATTTCAATAATTATTTTTTTCATCGGAAAGATGATACCTCAAACATCGTCCTATAATTTGGTTTATATCCGATCATCCAAGATTTCTGGTTTTCGATGGAGATGGTGATTTTTCACGATTGCCTAATTTTTTTAATATTTCGAAACCCGAAAAAATTAACTGAACTTGTATTTTAATTACGTATGTAACTCATTTTTGCGGAAGAAATTCGAAGTTGGCAAATTAAATCTTCGAATCCTTGTAGGAGCTCTCATGAAAAACGAAAAATGCATATATATATTGACGCACAATAAATGGAAAAGAAATTTGAACCACAAAACCCACCCCTTGTGTGCAGCAATGGTCTCTCCCTATTACCATATTCAATATAATTAGTTCCGTAGTAAGGATCTGTTTAGGCGCGTCTGCTAACACCAGGCGCCTAAATACATGCTATGTACTGCTGCATGTGCAAAAATTTCCTTTATGCA